ATGCACATAAAAATGAACTCACTGCCTTCGTAGTCATAATACTCTAGAAATGTATTTTTGAGGAGCTTTTGCCTGTTTTCTGAAGAATGAGGCACATGTGCCCAGCTTAAGCCAGCCTTGCATCCAGCCTTGCATCACAGGCAGCAAAGACATGTCTGATCTAAGGGGTTTCTTAAAACTTGCCCACTATGTGAGACAACAGGGCTCAGGGGAATGACTTCACAGGTGAGATGGTGTTTGTGACAGTAGCACATGGGACAATCTTCTTTAGCTTGCTGCTGCAAAGGCTCCACTCAACTCCCATCAATCCATTCAAAAAATCCATTTTTGTATAGTGATTACAGGAGCTTTGGCCTTGTTTTGTGTGCATATTGTTTTTGCTAAGCACCCATTTAAGCAACACCGCAATCAAAATACTAGGTCTCTAAACTTATGATTGCTGGAGTTCAAGCTGACCAATTGGTAATTCTTGTTTAGGTTAATGAAACAGCTCTGCTCATTAGCAATTTTGATTGTTCATTTTTCACAAAATGTCACCAAATCCACATCAGTGATGAAATCTTATGCAAAGAATTCCACAGGTAAGAATTTCCTTTAGAAGACATACTTTTGAGACTCTTACACCCAAAAGTATTAAATGTGTCTCAAATCAGTTGCTCTCCAAATGCATCTCATCTCTTACCATTTCTACATCAAGATCGATGCTTTTCAGTTTTAACAGCTTTTTAAAGAACTTCCTAATTTTCTTTAATATTCTGTCTGCCAGGAACACATGGTGTAAACCAAATGCCTTTAGAATTTGTTATTTTCTTGACAGTGCTCTTCTCTACCATGCTACATTTGTCACAAATGTCACCAAATTAGCATTCATTAACAGGGAAGCCAAAGACTTGTTGACTAAAATTAAAGGGTTTGAATAAGTCAAAATCATCTTCTGTCTTTGGAACTATATTCTCTGGTATCTGAGAGGATTTCCTTTGAAATCTGTTTGCTCTACTGTTTTATAACTGTGATGTTGAGTGGGTTTCGTTGAGTTTTTCTTTCAGCTGCCACATATTTCACATTAACAATTAAAAATGTCAGAATAACAGAGTTTACAGGTCTTCATGACAGTTGTTAAGATGTGACTAAATTATCTTTTCCTAGTGGTTTGTGTGCAGAGTTGAGATTTGGATTCACTCTGAGCAGCCCTGCAGGGAAGGTGGACGGAAAACTGAACAGGAGCCTACAACGTGCATTTGGAGGCCAGGAAGCCACGTGTGTCCCGGATTTAAACTAAAAGAGTTTAGATTAGATGTTAGGAAGAAATGCTTTACTGTGAGTGTGGTGACACACTGCCACAGGTTGCCCAGAGAAGCTGTGGATGCCCCATCCCTAGAAGCGTTCAAGGCCAGGTTGGACGGGGCTCTGAGCAACCTGGTCTAGTGGAAGGTGACCCTGTCCATGGCAGGGGAGTTGGAACAAAATGATCCTCAAAGTTGTGGACCAAACCCACGCTTTGATTCTATAAATCACCCTTCTGGGTTTCTCAAAAGCTTGTCAAAACACCACCAGATGTAGGTATTTTCTACAGAAATACCATTTATCCATTCAACCAGAATGCTTCAGTTTCCAGATCACATGTGACAGACCGCAGCGGAACGTTTAAAGCGGTACGATTTACGAGAAAGCCGTTTTACTATTCCACTTGAGAGACGAGGCTGTTTCCCAGCACACCTCTGGGACCGGCTATCCAGTGCGTCCCTCAGGGCAGACCTAGGCGGCCAGCGGAGCTGGGACAAAATGCCAAGCACCGTTCTGCCCCCGCTGTGCCACACCAGGACGGACACACGAGGCACTTCCCCGGGGCCCCGCCTCGCTCCCTCAGCACTGCCCGCGACGCCTGCGAACTCCCCGCCATGTCGGAGCTGGACGGGGCCAGCGTCGCTTCCGCCCTCACCGCGCACCGCTGCGCATGCGTAGCGGCGCCGCCGGCACAGGGAGCGCTCAGTGACCACTGCGCATGCACAACCGACCCGCCGCTCTCCCTGCCCTTTACCCTCCCCTGGCCCGTTCCCTTCGCGCTGCCGCTCCCCACACATCACCCCTCCCTCGCTGCCTTCCCAGTGGCACAGGCGGTGCCCGAAACCCAGCGGGGGAGTTCACGCTCCGGGCGACCACCCGCGTCACGTGATCGAGGTCGCGCCGGCGCCCTGATCGGGGCCGTCTGCCTACGGTGGTGCCTGACAGGGCTGGCGCGGAGCGGCCCGCGGACGGTGCTCCCTGGCGGGCGCCTCCGCTCTCCCTGCTTCTCCCCATCCCTCAGGCGCGGAGCGGCGGGGGCGGCGGTGTCGCCGAGGCGTGGCGTCAGTGCGGTGCGGCCCCGCCCGCGCAGGCAGCTCCTCGGGCAACCCAGGCGGGCCTGGCAGCGGAGGGGTCGCGGCGTGACCTCGGCGCGGTGCGGGCGGGAGCGGCGGGCGGGGGATTTATGTGCCGGGAGCGGGGCCGGGCGGGGCCGGCGCGGGCTCGGGCACCGGCACCATGGTGAGCACGGGGAGCGGGGCCAGGGGGCAGCGGGGAGAGGCTCCGCTCGCGGCCCGGGGCGCGGGGCCGCGCTTCCGCAGGGCCCGGCCCCGGCTGTGGGAGCGCCGAGGCCGCCGAGTGGGACTGTCGGTCTCTTCATTAGCTCTCATTAAGGGAATGACTGTGCTGGCTGTACTTCGCCGCGACCTCACGCCGGCACCTTTGCACTGCCTGGGTGTTCGGTCCCTCTGTGCCGCTTTTCCGCGGGGAAGGAGAGTGAGGCACCGCGCTCTGGGCTCTGTGACAGGGTTGGGATGTCTGACCATAAATACCCAGAGCCCTCATCGCCCTCCTCAGCTCCCCGGACGGAGGCTGTGGTGAGGTAGGGGCCGGTTTCTCCTGCCGTGCCTGCAGTGAGGGGACCGGAGGGAATGGCCTCCAGCTGAGACAGGGGAGGCTCAGATTAGATATTAAATTTTCACTGTCAGGGTAGTCGGATATTCGAATAGGCTGCCCCGGGAGGTGGTGGAGTCAGCATCCCGGGAGGTGTTTAGGAGGTGTCTGGATCCGGCGCTGGATGATGTGGTTCGGTGGCTTAGGGGTTGCACTGGCAGCGCTGGGCTGACGTTGGACTTGATGATTTCAAAGGTCTCTTCCAGCCATGACGGTTCCATGATTCTGACTGTTTATTCACATCTTCTGTAAACACCCTATAAATAGGGTGTGTAAGTGGTCTTGGATATATGTAGAAACCTTTGTTGTTCATTAATGCCAGTTCATTTTCAGTGCTCTGGGCCGTGTCACTGTGTGTGCTGTGGCAGCATGGCAGTGTCACACAGTCCTAGAGTGGTTTGAGTTGGAAGAGACCTAAAGAAAAAAGAATCCTGCTTTAAATTGCTTTTCACAACAGGTGTTTCAGCACAGCCAGAATTTATTATTCTGAACATAATGCACAATAAATGACCTTGTAATGCGGTAGGGGAAGAACAAAGTTTGAGTGGTGTAATTGTTAATGGTATAAATTTGTTGGATATACATCACTTAAATAGAGGAGGCTAAGCAATGAATATCAGATAAATAAAGATGCTGAATTTTGTATTTAGGTTTTAGTTACCATTGAAAACACTGGAGTTGATCAGCTGAGCTTTTAATGTACTTATAGATAAAAGGAACAAGGATATGTGGGTGCAGGTATAAAACCGCGTTTTGTATGTGCCATTGCACATATAATATAGAGTATATTTTATGTATTTTATAGCTATTATATTTTTCATCCATATGACTATATGACTCTAAGTTTCAATGTCATTTTAAATATGGCAGAAGTGTCTGTTGAAACAGATTGCTAAGAACTGCACTTTACAGTTACATTTTTTATAAAATTGCCTATTAACTGTTCTCATACTTATACATTTAGTCACATGATTCTACTAAAGCTCTTTTTAATACTGTATATTATGAAAAGCTTATGAAAGGAACTGTATTTCTTTTCCTTATGAAGTATTTTTCTTCCTTTTTTTCTTTTTCTAGAGGTTAGAATATTTAATTGAAAGGTTGTGAAATACTCATTTATAGGATTCCATGGGTGCTGTGGCCAATATCCATATTGGAAGCTACTTTTGGGAAATTGTGAGCTTTTCCTCTCAGTGTAGGTCCTTAATTAAATAAATTGAGTGGTTGCTTGTGCTGCCTGATGAGATTGAAAGATCAGGTCCAGTTTCCTTTGCTGGGTGCTGGCAGTGTGGACAAATAATCTTTGTGTGTGGTTCCATGACGTCAGCAAAGTGAAAAGATGGTTGTCTACTTTTACAGTGTTTGGAAGCTGCATTCTCTAGTTCTGAAGCAACAGGAGAATAAAATGTTCATCAGTTTCTTTTGCACCAGGAGGCTTTTAAATCAAGTCTTAAAAATCAAGATCTGCCAAGCTGGAACTGCCAAGGCTCATCTATGCAGTTGCAGTGCCAGTTAGGCCATGACTTTACACTCGCACAAGTGTCTTAATACTGTGCAAGGCCACAGTGATTTAGACTGTTCAGCAGAGGCATCAAAGAGTTTTCACTTTTTATGCTTGGAATTATTCCTTTAATAGCAGAGCCTGCTCTTTAAAAACCAAGTGTTCTAGAGAGTGGGAGCTTCCATAGTTCCTACTTGTGGTCGTTGGGGAAGTATTGGTAAACTTCCCCAACTACTTTTTTGGTAAAAAAGTATTTGAATAGTAATAGTGGAGCATAACCTTGTTTTTTCCTATGTAGTAGATCAGTTCTCTGAACTAGTTTTATTTGTAATCTAATTACAGATTACATTGCACATATATTTGTGTTCAGTACAACAAATATTCAATATTGGCCTCTTCAGTAATAAAGATAAATCTGTGTTTTTATAAATGCCCTTGTTCCAGCCACAGAATTTCGATAGCAATAACTTGATTTGCGTAATGATCACTAGTTCCGTAATCTTTGTGCTTAGAGAGCCTCAGTAGAAAAAGACAAAAGACCGTCGGGTAGAATGCAAGTTTATTGTCTCTCTTTTGAATCTGTGGAAAGACACTGGTCAGGAGAGGAGTGACCCTTGGGTGGGAAAGACCTGTGAAGGCGAGTGGTTGGGTCTTGAACTTCTTGTATATTCATCATGCCACTTCATGCATCTTTTGTTCATCTCTGCTGTCTTGTAAACAGTGGTAACTGCATGAAAATTCTGATTCAGGGAAAACTTGGTCATGAGAAAAGAAAAAAAAAAGTAAAAATCTGAACTTTGAAGAGTCTTGGCATAGATATCTTTTCCAAGATTAACTTTATGAATGTCTGATTTTTACAAATAGTAAGATTTGAACTGCCTCAGATTGCTGACTATCGTTCTGACTACAGGTCTTTTGTGAAAGTGGTCTTTTCCACAGGAAGGACTCATTTTAAGATGCTGCACAGCAAGCTCAATTTTCTTTGACCATCCCATATAATATTTTCTACTGTTTAGGAAACAATTCTGAATTGCATTTATGTTTCGGAAGAACACTGTCATGCTTTTGCAAGCTGCAGCTTGAGCATGGGCATATACATACAGAGAAAAATTTGCATGTGGGGGAAAATTCAGCTATGGAAAAGTGTCATTTCATAGCAAAAGCAATAATGTGTCAGCTATTAAATGGCATTTTGAAAAGTTTATACCAATTTAGCTTTCAGGCTCCACAAATACCGTTGCACATTTGGAATTGCAGGAGATAAAAGTGTTTGTTATATTCTCCTAGGGATCTTGCTGGTCACTACTAATACAGTACCTTTTCCATTTCTTACTTGGAAATTCACAGCCTTGTTAGCATGTTTGCATGCTGCCATTGAAAGAGATTTATGCCCTGAGTTAATATCTGTAGAATACTCCAGTGCAGTTGTGTAAAAATCTTGTTTTTACAAGACTTGCCACTTCGGAAAGAAAGCAGCTGGCATTACATTTCTGAAGGTGAAATTGTAGACTAGGTTCTACCAGCTGTTTTTTCAGGCATGCAGTTGTATCCCTGCTGCAGTCCTGGTGCACACAGTAGTTGGCTTCAGCTCAAGATTCTCTTGCAGTGGAGGAGGCAGTTATTGTCAGAGAACAGGTAGTTTCAAAGTCCTGTGTAAAGCAAGGTGTTTGAATTATTTGTAATATATACATATGTGGTAAGGAAAAAAAGATGGGAAAACCTGTTACTACGAGTAGGGAAGAATAACCTTGGGCAAGGTCAAAATGAGGAGACTGGAGTGGTGTCTTTGGATAAAACAGCCTTGGCTAACTTTGTGCTTCACATTCTGTAAGTCAAATAGTGATGAAAAGAAAAATGTCCTTTAGGCAGAAGTACTTTTGAATTTGTTGGTTTTTCTTTTTTTTTGTTGCTCTGAGATAGCTGTTGGTGTTTTATAAGTACACTTAACTTGTAGATAGGAGTATTGTAACTCTATCTTAATTGCTTATTCTTAGTTTTTGTTCTTCTCACTATCAGCAACTGTGTTACCAGGTATGTAATATAAGACTGTGAAAGTTTAGGTTGTACTTTATTCAACCTTGTGCTGTTGCCTTTTGGACCTCTCATCTTTTTGTTCCCCAATTTTAAGAAATCTGGCCAGCTTTTCTTTAATGTAACTGCTAATACTACTCTTGTGGACCACTTATGTGTTCTCTGTTATGATTTAAAGCTTTCATGTGATGTGTGCTGTGTTAGGCAAGCAAAGGTCAGACTGCCATACTTACTGAAGGATCTGGAAGAGAGCACAATGCTCCAGACTTCTGAGACACCTCTAACCAAAGGCCTTCTATGACAGAAACACAGCTAGGCTGCAGTTTATTTGACAGTGTTGTTGCTGCGTGGCTGTACTATTTCAGTCTCGTTTTTGGCCAGGAGATTTCTTACCAGCTTCTGTTTTGCAGAGAAACTGACTTACCATGTTACATAGTCCTCTTTCATTGGTCCCAGTGCTTCCTGGCATTAGAGATTGACAGCAATGTCTCTGACCAATAGAATACTGACCTCTCTCTCTAGTGGCTTGAACTTGGATTTCAAATTCCATGCTGCAAAGCTGAAGCATGATAGGGACACGGATGTGTGTGGAATCAGTGTGCTGAAGGTCTTATGAAATGGGTTCAGTTAACATGATTTTTCACAAACTGTTCTATATCTGCAGCCATTTTATTTAGTCTGTGCAGCAGTTCCTCATCTCTTAATAGGTGAGTAGTGCTTCTATGAGTTTTGGGTCAGCGTGGTCAGTGATTGTTTGCCTAATTACGTTATCACAGGTCAGGTGATGGGTTCCAGGTTTTGTTCACTGGAGGCCCTCAAAACCCCCTTATGATGTGGGCTTTGTCCTTGTGCATCATCTCTCTCAAATACGTCATACTTTATTTTTTATACTCTTGATTTTTAAAGTTGTGGATTTATGACTAAAATCTAAACTCTGTGTCCTCTAATTTAGAGTGTGCAAGTAGAGGTTGTAAGATATTGATGGGAACCAACACCCAATTTTCATTCATGTTCCTAAAATGAGTGGTTTTAAATTTAAACTGGTATTAGTGGTAAAGTGAAGACTTAGAAGTATGTGGGAGGCAGGATGTAGACAGCCTGAACTGAACCCTGTATTTGGGGGGGGGGGGGAAGATGTGTTCTAGTGTCATAATAGTGTCATCTTTGGGATGTTGTACGTATTTCTGGTATGTGTTAATAAAACACACAGGCAGAGTGTAACCACATCCAGGCAAAAGGGTAGAGTTGGCAAAAAGTTGTGCTGCATGCACATAGCATGTTGAGTGACTACATCACGTACTGTATTCCTGTGCCATGTGTTCTTGGCAGATTGCAGGAAAATTAATGCAGTGGATTTTTTTAATTTCTTGTCACAGCTTTATGCTATTAACGTATTACTTGTGGTTGTTTACTAACCTTCAGGAATCAAGAGAAAATGCCTATATCAAGTAACCTCATATATCCATTTTTTAATTGTAGGAAAGTAAGTGTAGGAAAATACGAGAAAGATATTTCCACCACAAAGTCAGATTTAAAGTTAAGATTAGTGATGTCATTGGGGTTTGGTTATTTTTTTTTCCTGTGGCTTAAAACTTTCTGGGTTGTTTTCATTTGTATGCTGAAATCTTTGTAGGTATTTCTGTTTTTAACAAATGCAGCAAAAACCTCTATGGGAATTAGCACTGTGAATTTCTGCTGGAAGGGGATAGAGAGGATACAGAGAGACATTCAGTGGCTTAAGACAAATTGTTCCTAATGGGTTCTGTTAACAACTTGCAGCCTTCACTTGAGTAAGGAAATGAGTTTCTGTTGGTGAACTTTTAAGTAGTCTGTTGATTTGTAAGTATTTTAGCTCAGCTAGTGGTCCTGCTGCCCTGTATAAAAATAACTGCCTTGATTTGTATCATTTTCCCTCCTGTTGTCTTGAGTTGAAAAGGCATTTTCTTTCCCTTACTGATAGGAACCTCTAGGAGTAATTGAAGAGACACATCCTGAGAGAGTGAATTCTGAGGATCATGGCTTAGTGGGCAGGTGACATAAAGGGACAGTGGTTTATCTCTTACATTGGATGGCAGCGGTCAGGCTTAGCGTGAGGTGATCAGAATAAATGCTTGATTTTTAAAATGCGTGGTTTGTTTTGTACATGAATTAGAGAGTATATACTTCCTTAGCAAGTTAGTAATTTAAAAATCAAATATATTATGCAGGCAGCTTGTTTTAGCAACACTTCCTTTCAGTGGAAGTACACTTCCCTTAGCCAGGGAATTGGTTTGAGTAATCTGTGCATGGAACTATGCATAATCCTTAATAAAGGTAGAGTGTTCAAAGTAATACATGCAGCTCTCAGGGGACCCCTGGTGGCCTAGTGGTTAGCATGCGGCACTCTCACTGCTGCAACCCAGGTTCGAATCCTGGTCCCCCGGGCAGATGGAGCTTGTTAGCCCTGTGAGGCCATCCATCTATGAGAAGGTCACTGTAAACAAACCTACATCCTGAGGACCTCACTGCCATTGTCCAAGCTTGCTTGGCCCCGGCAGATGAACCTTAGGATTAAAGGGTGGGCTCAGTTCAGCGCATGCTGTGTCTCACCTGAAAAAATCCATTGCGCAGGCTGGAAAGGTAAAAGACCTTTCCCAAAATCTTCGTTCGCGAAGACTGGCCATTATTATTACATGCAGCTCTCAGTCATGATCTTGATCCCTGATCTTGGTGACATAGAGCATAAACAAAAGCGACTTCCTAATTTTTGACATACCTCAGGGAATTGATAGCACCAATGTGTAGGAGCAGTAGAAATTCCAAGGAGGGAGGAGGCAAAGAGAGACTTGAGCACTAAAGAAACTTAATGGTATTTGAACCTCTCCAAAGGTGTTATTTCAAAGTATAAAAAAGTAACAAGTACTTCTAACTGATGTTTGGCACTTTGTTATGAGATGTGTGATAATATATTGAAAGTGTTTACAAATACTGCAAGATAATTTAGGCTATCTTAATCTCCCTCAATCATGTTAACTTAAGGATGATACTGTACATCATGCAAAAACATTTCATCTACGCAGTATTGACACAATTTCTGATTTATTTAAGGGGGAAAAAAAGAAACAGCATTGAAGGAAGGTAAGAACTTTCCTTAGTGCAATATTTAAGACCAAAGAAGATATTGTTGGTAGGGAAGGGGAAGGTTGGCGAAGAGTTGTAGGTTAACAGCTTGTTGCATAGCAGGTGTGGATAGCAGGGACTTGGCTTGTATGACCATGGGACCCCCTCTGAGGTGCAAGGACTGCTGGGGAGGGACAGCATCCTCCTGGCCAAGTGGGGCTAAAGTATCTTTGCCAACAGTCTGGCTGAACTGGTATGGACAGCTTTAGACTAGGACTGAGAGAGGAAGGAGGTGATGACTCACAAATGAAGAAGAAAAAGTGGTAGACTGAGCTGGTAAGCAAAGGATGCAAGGTTGAGAGGAATCCTTGAAAACAACTAATTAGGGGAGAAAGGAACTCACACATGTAGGTAAATAAAAATAGGAAATATCTGTATATACAATGAGGCCAACATTTTGAGGGAGAAGCTCTTAGACCTCTTCAGGGAGATGAGCATCTTTGACCTGCCAGTACATTAATGCATGCAGCATGGGGAAAAATGGGAAAGTAGGGGGCTGTATGAAGTTGCAGAGCTATGATTTCATTTGGATAACAAAGATGTGATAGGATAGGCAGTACAGTGCCACCATGGATGGATGCAAGCCCTTCAGTGGGGATGGGCTGGGAAGCAGAGGAGTGTTTCTCTCTACTGAGAGAACAGTAGGGATGCATGGAAGTCTGCCATGGCATTAAAAAAAATTGTGAAAACAACAACCAACAGTCAGAATTAAAGCTTGCTAAGTGTCTGGGAATGAAATGGCTGCTGACACTACTGAAGTGCCAAATGCTTTTCAAGAGTTGGATGTTGAAGCTATGCTGATTCCTATGTGCCCTTCTTTCCCCACCTCTGCCTGGAGTTCAGTGTGGGGCAAATGCTCTACACTAATCAAAGACTGAAATTTCACAACGTGGATGTTGTTAATTGTGAAGTTATTGTTAATTCCAGGGGGTTTGTGATGTCAGTTGTTTAATAGTGTCAGAGCTGAAGAGATCACAAATCCCAAATTTGTAATCAGGGATGTAGGTTTAAGGCATAATGTCTTGTGAAATGCCGTGTCTATGGGTGGCCTTTCAGTATGTGAAGCAGGAGCCATATATTACTGCCATCGTGACCTAGGAATGCATTTTCCCTCTGATGAAACATGTAAGTGATTGTAGCAAGTTTCAGGAGATTTTTTATTTTGAAAACTGCTACCGTATCCTGCCCCCTGTTCCTTTCCAGTTTAAAATTAACCAAAAAATTAACCTATCATACAGAGTGTTTTTATTTTTTTTTTAAGATACTTTATGACTTTTCTAAAACACATACTGACTTATTATTAACTTATTTCTCTACAGGGTGTGATAGGTGTACAGCTGGTGGTTACCATGGTAATGGCTAGTGTCATACAGAAGATCATACCTCACTATTCTCTTGCTCGTTGGCTTCTCTGTAGTGGCAGGTAAGATAAACAGTTGCTATACAGTGTGTGACTATGACAATGCAGTTATGCATTAGAGTAGTAACAGTAATTCTTGAAAAATAATTGACTGCTGTTCTTAATACTGTAGCATTGTGCCACCTGATTTGCAGGCTCAAGGTAAAAAGACAGTGTTGCTGTAAAAGAACAGAATTGTTTGTTGCTACTAATGGTATCAGTCACTAAGTTAATTGTTCTTCAGCTCTTATATTAAAGGTACAAGGTACATCCTTTAATTATGAAGAAGCTAAACTGAATACAAGACACTGAAGAATGGAAGGATTTTTTTTCCTCTGCACTGCCTCTGTGGTGTTGTTAATCCACCTCCTGATTAGCTTTTCATATAAACAGTGCTTAGGTAGTTATTAAAAATTCTGGTTTTTTAATACTTCATAGGACAAGATTAGCATAAATTCAATATACTACTTCCTTGTAACAATAGATCAAACAGGCATAGTGAGTTGCAGGGGGAGCATTGCCTGTGTGTCTGTATCCATAATAACAATGAAAAACAACAGCTGTTTTGAATATAAATCAGTATGCTAAATATTAAAAGGAATCATAGACACTGTTTTTTTCATTTGGTAAGAAAAATACTTTGTTTGATTAGAAGGTAGAGTGCTGTCTTTTGTAATTGTTAAAATTTTGAGAATACCAGTAGTATTCAAGGAGTATCCCTTGAATAATAAAATACTCCATAACAGTATTAATGAGTCTTGTATAATTTTCCATTGCCTTTTTTGCTTCTGCATCTCATAATTACCAACTTGTTTCTTTTTAATTTTCCACTTTTCATCACCCAGCAAGTTGCTAATGAGGATTGACTGTAAATGTTGTTTAGAGGTGTGTTATGTATAACAGAAAACAGTAGTTTTCAGGTGAATAACACAAACAGGAATCATACTCTTAATGAAGTTTCATCGTTGACCACATCTGCAGGGTGTTGATCACCTTTTTTATGCCCTAAAAAGAGTATTACATTAATGAATATGAAACTACCTACCATTTGCTTTTAAAGTGTATTACCACTAGAGTGGTTTTTATCACCAAAGGGCATATTATACTTTTTATGTCCTATTTAGACTTTTATTTCAAAATTTAAATATCTAATTGCTCTTTTAAAAGAATTGCTCAATATTATGCCTATGTTCTTCATACTTTTGAAGTTTTCACTCTCTGTATCCTTGTTCTTAGGCATATGCCAATGATAGGGAGAGGTTTGCTGTTCAAATATTTTCTCCTAATCCTTTTCTCCATTTGTCTTTACACACTTGCAGATTGATAAATACATGAAGCAAGATTTCAGCACTTGTGCTTAGGTAATTCTGCTCCTACTGAAGTCATTGGGAGTCCTGTTATTGCCTTTACTATGTTAGTAGCCTGGAAATCTCATGGTTGCTTTTCAGTGTTCTTTTATTTATCTGGTAACTTATTTTAGTGCATTCTAATTCCGGGCACTATGAATAATCCCCTGAATACAGGAATTGTATGAAGAGTCAGAAATAATTCTGTGTTCCAGAAATGAAAACAAGTTAGAAGCTTCGCGACAACAAGAACCTGAGTCGTAATGGCAGAAAGAAAACCAGTTATTTTCATAGTTTAGCTGAGAAACTATCTATTATCTTTAACCTATTTTTCTTTAGTTTTGTCTTTTTGCCAGTGGTATTTGATTTGGCAGACCTGTGCAGGTGGGGTGGTAGGGCGTTTTATACACAAAAATGTACAGGTACAAATAGGCACACTCCTAAGCAGTCCAGCTGTCCTAGGAAAAGTTACCACCTGCTCCTCCTTTCCTTTGTCAATAGACTCCAACTCATCTTTGGTTCCCAACAGTGGTTTTTAAGTGATTTGAACTAAATGTCTTACTTTCAAAGGGTTGGCAGGCTTTCCTAAGTAAGATAGACTGAAATGTCTATAGATAGTCCTTGCCAAATGGGAGGGAGGATAAGCATGTTACCAAACAAGATGGAAACACATTTAAGTGACCAGTTGATTTCAAGATGCCTGTATATGTACAAGCAAAGTCCATTAAAAGGAAGCACAGACATTTCAAAATTTAAAAGAATTGTTAGAATAGACAGACATAAGATACTTACATCATTGACTGTCAAAAAACTATTTACTTAAATTTGTAAAGAAATACAAACTTTTTCAATCAATGCTATTTTCAGAGCTTGAATGGAATTTAAATATCATATTTATTGAAAGAATTGGCAGCCGAAGTATCTGCATATGCCTTTGCATTTTTAACTAATAAAACTTGTTGCTTTTAAGTTGCTCAGCTGTTTTAGTTGTTCTATTTTCAGACCACTTCAGGAAGACAGGAGAAAATGGATGTTTTGTTGTGCATTCATTAATGATCTTCATTCAGATTAACTGGGGCATATCTGTGTGGCTGTTGCTATTCAAACTAACTTGGATATGTCAAAGCCACAGTTGTGGGATTTCAGATTTAAGCATATAGTAAGCTAAAACAGATACAAATTACTTTTTTATTATCTCAGTCTTTAGGAAAACGTTGGTTCAGATCTCTTGGTTTTAAGATTTTAAAGGCAAAGTGTATAGGGTTTATGAACTGAAAAATCCCCAAACTCTTGTATCCTACTGTAATTAAGTATCACTTGCAACATAATATTCTGTATTAGGAGCAAATTGTAACTGAAGTGTTTGATTTGGGTTAGCATACTACACAGAACAAGAATTTTGTCTGTTCTGCTGCATTAGGTACTATTTCTCTGTGCAGGAAAGATTTTGAAAAAATTCTTCACAGCATAGGTGACTTTCATCATTACAGAACTACTTATGGTAATCTCTGCATGCCAAATTCAGATCCAGGAGATTGTGAAAGACAAAGCAGAAGAATATTTCTCTGCTTTCTCACACTTTCTTTGGGTCATGTGAAAGATAGGAAGAAGTCAGCATCTCCAATGTAGTTTGTCTTCTTGGATGAAAAGGTGGTTTCTCTAGTTTCTGTGTGTCTCAGTCTTAACAGAGTCTCTTTTGCAGCAAAGTTTACAAACCACAGATTTTTCAGCTGGGACCACAGATGATGAAAATAAATTAATGAAACAACTTTCACTCTTAGTTACACTGAAAAAAAACCCTGAACAAAATTCAGCTTCTCTTTTCTCCCCCCAAAACTCTGTGTTTGTGCAAAGTCTGTAATATTTGCCATTTTCAGTTTTGGAACTCGCAGTGAATTCCTTCAAGGGAAATTTGCAGTGTTTGATGTTTTATTAACTGGTATTGGAGTTCTTTTCTCTCAAAAAGATCCCAAGCTGAAGGAAGCCTTTCCAAAACAGAGCTGGGAGTCAAGTGTTATCAAGTGGTTTGAGGTTGTTTGGGTTTTGATGCTTACTTTCCAAATTTGCCCTACTGTCTCATTGAACTTGGATGTGACATCATCTCTAATTCACCAACATAGATTTGAATGGTCCTACTTGGTGCAGTTTACTTAATATGAGCAGATGGTTGTGGATTCCATTATCACCTCTAACTATTACCAGTGTTAACCCATGTCCTATGGGTGACAATTAGTGTCCTCCTACTTCCACATACATTTCCCAGGTCTGTTTCGGTTAATGCCTGGTCTCCTTTATCTCAGCATTTGAGAGTGGAGACCACAGTGACATCCTTCCTGCATGTGGACGATAACCTTCCCTTGTTGAATGTGGAAAAGGCCTTGTTTCAGCTAAGGTTTTTGATGTACTTAGAGATTTAAGTAAAATATACCATCTTAGCACTTAACCATCTCCATTTTTCTTCTTCATAATTTCCTTGCCACTTCTTGCCTTTTAAATGAATCAGCAATGGATGATGCATTGATTTGTGAAAGTGGAAAAACTTGTAGGTCAACTGCATGTAAATTAGCGATATTTTTAATATCACTTTTTCTAGTAGGATTTGAAGCTAGCAGTGAGGAGGCTTTTAGGAAAGGAGTGTTGATGTTATGATCTACTCTGCTTAAGAAAAAGACTGGTAATGATTATTAGATAATAGCTATTTCAGATTCTGAAAAATTACTGGGTTTTTGAGGGTATAATTAGGTTTTATAGAATTGTTTAGAATATGGTTCTGATGGGTAATTTTAATGGTATAGTTATTCTAGTGAACCTTTTCTGCTTGTACAAGCCCTGTATTTGGTGATATCTTTAAAATTTGGTGTTTTGAGAACTGAAGGGCTTTCATATGAATGACAAAGTGTCAGAGCTTTCTAATCATAAATAAACGTGTCATGCTCAATAGAACTGAAGTTTAGCTGTGGTTCAGTTCAGGCAAGATTGGTACTGGCACACAAGGGTGTCCTGCTTAGGAGTGGCAAATGACTGATATCTTGATATGCATATAGATCTGCATTGACATACAGTTTTTAAAAGCCCCACTCTAAATTGCAAATATGGGTATTATTATACTTAAAATTTTCTTTTTCTTCAGTTTACGGTGGTATCAACATCCCACTGAAGAAGAACTACGGATTCTTGCAGGGAAGCAAAGAGGGAAGAGCAAAAAAGACAGGTAAATACTTGTTTCAAGCTTTTCTTCCCCTCTCTTCAGGTTTTTTTTAAGCATGTTCATGTAATAACTTTGCCAGCCAACTTTTGTCTTTGTGTGAGTTAAAAACTGCTAGTTGCATATGACTACCCCACTTGCATTAATTGTCCCAGTTCTTTACTAAAATGTGTTCTTTCAGTTTAACAAATGGTTGAACATTGCCAAATTGTGCAGAACTGGTTAATTTCCAGTTCACAAAATGGTCTGTGAAGCTGCTAATTTGGTGGCAAGGCTTTTTTTTTTCAGTGGATGTATTTATTTAGATAAAAATTCAATCTTAGAATCAAACCTCTTCTGTTGAATGAAGAGAAGAAAGATTTGAGTATATTAGTTCAACGTAGGATTATTAAGATCTGCCACTCTTGCACAGCTGTGAAAAAGGTAAATGTGCTCCTGATGTATTACATGAGGTGTTTCTAGTAAAGAGAGAGGGAAATATTAATCCTCTTGGATGAGACACCAGTGTAGAACTCTATCTGCATTACTGTGTACAGTTCTGATCACTCATGTTCAAGAAAAATTAATTTTGTGTGTGAACAGGTGAACAGAGCTGCTAGGATCATCCAGGAAACAGAAAGTGTCTTACAAGAGGGGCCTAAAAGAGCTGGGCTAGTTCAACCTATCAAAAAGGCAACTGAGGAGGTGGGATAGCTGTCTGTCAGCTTACGCTGGAAACAGATTTCTGGTGTTCAGACATGAAGTTCTGAACAGAAGAACGTGTACTTCTAAAAAAAATACAGCTGCGTCAAGAACCGAGACATCTCGAGGTGGTGGAGCTCGCCTTGTTGATATGATATTTCTGAATTGGCTATGTTTAAAATGACCAGCGCCCTCTGGCTTTCTTTTGGCAACACAGGAAGTTTCCTTTAGCCCTGTTTCTTCTATCCCAGTATGAACTCTCTTATTAATAAATCTTAAGACTTGAGTTAATTTACACATTTCTCATATAATCTGTTAATTGTAATGTGATTTTTTTTCCCTGTTTCCTAGCTCTTAAGATACATGGTTGGGAACATTATTTGCTTCTGTGATTCACAGAATCACAGAATCATTTAGGTTGGAAAAGACCTCTGAACTCACCTAGTCCAGCCTTTGACTGATCACCATCTTGTAAACTAGACCGTGGTACCAAGTGTCACATCCAGTCATTTCTTGAACACCTTCAGGGATGGTTAGTCCACTACCTCCCTGGGCATTCCATTCCAGTTCCGTGAAGAAATTCCTCCTGATGTTCATCCTGAACCTCCCCTGGCTCAGCTTGAGAGTATATCCTCTTGTCCAGTCACTGGTTACGTGGGAGAAGAGACCAACCCCCACTGGCTACAACCTGCTTTCAGGTAGTTGAAGAGAGCAGTAAGGTCACCCCTGAACCTGCTTTTCTCCAGGGTAAACAATCTCAGTTCCTTCAGCCTCTCCTCATCAGACATAACCCCCACATCCTTCCCCAGCTCTGTTGCCTGTCTTTGGATTCATTCTACATCTCAATGTCTTTCCTGAATCGAAGGACCCAGAACTGGACAGAGTACTCAAGGTGTGGCCTCACTGGTGCTGAATACAGCGAGACAATCACTGCCCTAGTCCTGCTGGCCACACTATTGCTGATTCAGGACAGGATGCCCTTGACCTTAGTCAACCTGGGCACACATTGGCTCGTGTTCATCTCTTCTGTCAACCAGCACTTCCAGATCTTTTTCCAATGGGCCACTTTCCAGCCACTCTTCCCCCCTCCCTAGCTTTGGGGGTTGTGACCCAAGTGCAGGACTCAGCACCTGGCCTTGTTGAACCTCATGCCTTTGGCCCCAACTCATTGATCCAGCCTGTCCAGATCCCTCTGCATAACCTTCCTACCCTACAGTTAATGAACACTTCCACCCAACTTGGTGTCATCTTCAAACTGACTGAGGGGGTACCCGATCCCTTCGTCCAGATCATTGATAAGGATATTGAACAGGACTGGCCCCAACACTGATCCCTGGGGGACACCACTAGTCACCAACTGAATCACCAACTGAATGCAGCACGATTCACCACCACTCTCTGGGTTAAGTTGTTCCTTGTAAAATTAAAGCTATATAATAGTAATTTTTTTGCAATATTCTTTAAAATTCAGAAACTCATTTTATCTAACAGTTTTCTGTGATAAATTAAGGCAAAATAATTGTGAATAGCATTACAATTTATAGCAATCCATTTAACCAGTGATATTTATTTATGTGTAAAATAACTTTGTTATGTAATTATAACTTTATGTTCACTCATAGGAGCCTTAAACAGAAAAGCACAATCACGCTGTGAAGTAATAATTGTACTTTGCTCTTATTGCCTTTCCTCAGCCTTACCAGTCTTTTCCCATAGTTGTAGTAGGTGCTTGTTCCAGGGTGAATGTTAATCACCAGGGATATAAAACGTCAAAGAAACTAAAGCGATAATGTGGAGGCTTAAATGATGTTTGCTTTGCTTTTTTAACAGCTGAATAATATGGTTATTTTTTAGTGAATAAATGTACTTCTGTGTCCTTTAAAGAAGTGACTGTTCTTGGGGGAGAACCATAGTTAAGTAGGAATTGTTCCTGTTGATCAGTTTGGATGTACTGATTTAGATTGCACAGAATGGAATGCACATCTCCTTGTGAATCGTCTCAACAAGGAGATGTGAAACAGATGGTGTAGGAGAAATAAGGATGCATCTATTTGATACTCGCAATGTCTTTTCAAGAGAGAGTCTGCTTTGTCCAACCCATAGTCTTGAAAAATATAATATGTGCTCCTTACTTAAATACTTTGCCCATCTGAACTAATTCAAAGAGAAATGATGAAAGGAGATACAAGGAACTTGCTTGAAAATTAGCCTTAGAAACAGCTGTAGTGTGAACTTCTAGTCCATTTTATTCAGTGCATATTATACTTCAGTATAATATTCTGCTGTTGGTTATAATAGCACCTGAATATTAGGCAAATTTTCTACTTCAGAATAATTTGTGTTTATATTAAATTGCTAGGCTAATGAAAAGGTCCATAGCTGCTGTCAGTTACTTTGAATTAAATCTTCCAGTGATCCCAGGTATGTTCTGTCTGTGTCTCTTGGATTGTGGGTACCCTGGGATAATTTGGGCATAGGAACACCAAATTTTGTTGAACTGAAATAGCTTCAGTCATCAAAATGCTGATCTCACTCAAGATGATGGTACTCCTGGGTGCATGGAATAGGAAAATAATCAGGAGTACACATGTGGGCAGGGAACTGAATTTTTTGAGTAATGCCTTAGATTCCTATCCACAGTTTGTCCGTTAAAATTCTTTGGATGATACTAAGAATTAATATAACTTGAAAAAATTCTATTAATGCTTTCAGCATGTATTCTCATTTCACATATGAGCTGAGATTGATTGAATTTCTTTTTAATGCTTATATATAACCCAATAACTTTCTATATCTTTCTATGGAAAATCTAACTCTCCTTTTCTAATATCAGAGGTGGTATTCTAAAATGTGGCAGAGTTTACTGTTTCCTTCTAGCCATTTAGAGGTTTGAAGTTGGGGTTTGATTTTTTAATCTAAGAAAAGATTTTCTGATCTGCTTAAATGATTTTTTTTAATAGTATTGAGATAAATTTTACCTTAGTAATAGTAATCTGTCAGACCAATTTCATCTAACTTTGTTAATTTTCTTTTAAGAATACTGTTTTTTTTCAATTTGAAATCTACTAGTGTGACTTATTTTCAGAGAAGTGAAGATCGTGATGTTGGCAGAGTTTCAGAGCTCCAGTTGAGAAGCACCCTGTGTTTTAAATACACATCTTTTTAGATTAGAAAGCTGTCTTGAAGTTGTCTTTGCCTGATGGCTGGTAGGATGGGTCTTTCAAGGACCTAGGTTAATCCAGATCGTGCGATGTACTTGCTGAGCACCCTGTTGTGACAAGAGGAACTAATTCTTTTCTGTGAATTTTTTTGGGGGGTTTTTTTGACTGTGGGAACACCCCGTAGCTCTCTGAACAGAGAAAATCAATGGGCTGAAGTAAACACTAGCCATTGGATCTTGACCCAATACTTGCTCAGGATGCAGCATATAGAGCCATTTAAACCCACACCACAGCAGTATGTTGAAATCTGTCAAGATAAAGCTAGGAACTATCGGCATACCTGGTTGCTTCTCAAGATTTCGACTTGAAATATTACTTTAAGCCAGATACATAAAATATTTGCATTTGGGGACAAAAAATAGTTGTCTGCATTTTTCTTAAATTTGAAATGTCATTATATATTGAAAAAGTTTATTTTGTCATACTCGTGTTTGTATTATCTACTTATTTCTTTATTTTAACAGAAAATATAATGGTCATATTGAAAACAAGCCCTTAACCATTCCAAAAGATATTGATCTTCATCTGGAAACAAAATCGGTGACAGAAAGGGACACTATTGGTAAGAATAACTGTATTCAAACAGTAATATTTTAGATATATACTTATTGTTTCTATGAAATGTTTATTTGCAATGAATGGCGGAATATCTCTTTTATAGACAATTAATGAATAGGAGTAAAACTGATCATAAATGGGAAAGCAAATATTCAGACTAAGTCTCCTTTCATGTTCCATGCATGTTCCACTGCATTTTAATAGCAGTGTTGTGGAAAAGGATGAACATAACGGTCTTAAGCTCTGCTAGGGGATGTTTAGATTGGATATTAGGAAGAAATTTTTTACAGAGAGAGTAATCAGACATTGGAATGGGCTGCCCAGGAAGGTGGCGGATTCACCGTCTCTGGAGGTTTTTAAGGTGAGACTGGATGTGGCACTTAGTGCCATGGTCTAGTAACCACGGTGGTAGTGGACCAAGGGTTGGACTTCAGGATCTTGGAGGTCTTTTCCAACCTGGTTGATTCTGTGATTCTGTAATAAAGCCCAAGTGTTGTATCAGACTTCCATAGCAATGTGAGACAACACCAAAAGAATCACTTCATAGTCTATTCAAAATAGAGTTTGTAGCTTTGTACAAGAAAATAACAATTGGCAGATGTCAAAACATATAGTTTCTGCTTATCTAAAATAAGAAATGTGCTGTAGCATTGAAACCCAGACCTTTCAACCATACACTGGAAACATTAAGGTACAATGCTTAAAAATGCAAAGTGACACAAGTACAGAAATATGCAGCATTAAGTGTTTTGGAAGTTGCTGTTTTTTAAATGGTGATTTTCGATTCCTTAATCATAATCAGTCATTCTGTTACAGGAAATTCATGTATGGATATGTATGTAAGCGTGATACATATTTTCTTCCTATCTACATTTTTACGAGTGTGTTCTCTGGATAAATATAGAAAGAATGGAAGCATAGTCCTCTGCAGGAGACTTCTCAACTTAAATTATAGGAGACAGTGTTTCTTTAACACTGCAGAGTTTTTTGAAGCTACTATGTAAATAAACAAAGCAACCCCAAGTTTCAATCAGTGCTATTTGCTTGAAATTGTAGCATTTAATTGTCTACCTGAGTGATACAAGATAGGGTTTGACTGTCTTTGAAAAGTTGTATATACAGGGTTTTTTGGTGAATCTAACCAGATTGTTATTTCAAAATAAGTACAGGGCTTGGAAATACCCAAGTTTGACCGGTTTCATGTGCTTACCAACAATTAGCTTGTAGTCAAGTCAAACATTCAGTAATGTTTTCTGGCTTTCAAATTGTGAAGGTGTAGGGAAAGGGTTTGTGTGGGACAGACCACAGTTTGTTGTCAAAAATTGTTCTTTGCGGTTTCTAGCACCTCTGGGAGCTCTCTATTCATATCATCCAGCCTATATGTAACACAGTACGATCCCCACAATTTTTACAGTGAAATTTACCCAATGACTATTGCTGTACAGGATGTATTAACAAAATCTGGAAGAATAAACCATCAGTATCTTAGATGTTGGGATTTTTTTAAATAAAAAGAAGTGATCATATAGAGTATATGAAATGATTGCCAATGAGTTTTAACAGAAAGCCAGAAAAAACTCTGAACTGGAATTGCAGCTAGACTCAGCTGAAGAACTGTTTTCTTTCTGTAGTGCGAAATCTACATTACGTATGCCTTTTCAATTTAAAATGTTAATGTATAAAACTGAGGTGATAAAATAGTAAAATCTTGTAGCCTTATAAATGTGAGTAGTAATCAAGTACTGAATGACAGAAGTGAAGAGTGAAGTTTACATTGCTGAATGAGAATATGTGGCTTTTTCACTGTTGTTGCACTTCACTTGCTTGATCTGGGTCTACCTAGACTTCACTTAATTGAAAACCTTTTTTAGTTGCTACTCCATTGTATATATGTTAAAGAATACCTTTAGCATTCACAAATTTTTATTTTTCAGCTCTGCATTATTTTCCGGAGTATCAGTGGTTGGTGGATTTCACTGTTGCAGCTACAGTTGTGTATGTGGTGACAGAAGCCTATTACAGCATTGTGAAGCCCTCACAGGAAATGAATATCAGCGTAGTGTGGTGTCTGCTTGTCTTGGCTTTTGCAGTGTATCCTTTGCTGTTTTCTTGAATTGCTCTACGTGTTCCAAATAGTTTACATAATTGTGTAATTCATATAAATCTCTGTGTTGCTAATGGGCAGGATACACAAATATTTAGCATTTGGGAATCATGTAAGCTAGTACCATTGTTTGATAATGTGTATGCTGCACATGCTCTTTGTAAATGCTGGTATCAATAGCTTGTTAACATTAATACCAAATCACTTACGGGAAAAATATATGTGTGCAAATACTAGTGCTCGTCTGTAGTATCCAGTGGTTCTAAACTAATTTGGTTTTGCTCAGTTTGGCAATCACAAATAGAATTCTGTACAGAAAGTACAGCTTTTGGAGAGGTTCGGAAATTTATTCCACACTTTTTGTTTTCAGTATGTTTAATACTTCTAGAACAAAAAAGCCCTACTTGCTTCATTTTTCAAATCTCGGGAATAGCCAATTTAAATAACACTACAATTAATTGCAATTCTAGGTGAAACAGAGTTGTAAATTATATATTGTAGCAAAATCCACTGCCATAGCCCTTTCTTACCGTGGTTTTGAATACAGTCCTGTCACTGCTTTTACTTGTTCATCAGTTCAGGGCAAAACCTTAAAAAAGATTTAAGCTGCCTGTCAGTGCAAGTTTTCTGTCTCAGTAGGGTGAATGGGCAAGTGGCTTTTAGAGTCTGTATGGTTTCTGGGCTGATGGGATGAAGTAGTGTGATCCTGTGCAGTGTGGCAACGCAGAAGGCTGCAGTACCAGGAAGCATAGTCTAAATTTTATATTAGCATTAACATCTCCATAAATGTGTCAACATAACTTATTCCAGGCATTACAGCTTTCAGAGTGAAGGAGAGTGATGCAAAGAGTGATATACAGAGGCATTGGTAACAATCCCTGTGGTCATTGGAACCTAGTCAGATGAGATTTCAGAAGAAAAGTGGTTAATTCACGTGTTGTGACATCAGGCCTCTGGGATGCTGAGAATATTTAAAACTTACTCAACTAATTACTAATTTAGTATGTCAAGACTAGAATGATTCTATGATAATTGACATGCTAGAGAAATTTGGTTACCTCCATATTTTCGATTGACATCAGTCAATGTGATATGTCAAAAATTAAATATAAAACAGTTTTGTGTTTTGTTGACAAGTATTTCTTCTGTTTTGTGTGTGTATGGTAAGAGGTGATAGGTTGTAATAAGGATTTGGCTGACTGAATGACCAAAAAAGTTTAGAGATTTTGGAAATGATGATTAGACATTTTTCAGCTGTGTCTTCTAGAAATGGATGTTTTGATTCAGTAACCCACTATTAGCAACTTTTAATGTTCATAGTGTAGATAATCAGAAAAGTCCAAGAAGCTAATTTAGTCTACACATCTACGTATTAGCAGAAATTTAGTCTAAAAACAGTAGTACTTGTGTTCCTGGTAATGTGGATAAATAGTTCCAGGATAGGGGTCTCTCTTACTTGTCGTGGAATAAATCTTAAAAATGGCTAGATAGTTTCAGGAAGACTAAAAGGTGTTTCTTGGGGACACCATTTAGAAGACCTGCTATACCAGCTGCTCAGTGTTTAATATTTTTGAAAGGCTGCGGTATATTGTGTTGGACCATCAGGGTTTGTTTTCATCACTCGCTGTTTCATCACACACTCAGTTTCCAGTGCCTGAAATGGACTAACAGAAGAACTAGCAAAACAAAGATGTTAAGGGGGTTTTTAAGACAGGTTATTGTCATGACCTTCTGATTGCGAATTTTGCCTTAAAAATTACTTTTGCAGTGTTACTGAGAACTCATTTTGGTGTAGACCATAATGCTTCAATTACAATATTTTTTAATTATTCTTTAGTTACAGTTCATTGCAGATAGTAACTCTTCACAGATTGATTTCTCTTATTTTGAAATTTGAAAAGCTGAGTGCTGTCAGAACAAATATTCAAACTGAGTTATTGATCACAATTTTCAGTGTAGCAGTTGCAGCCAAATTACTAGCGAAGGACTGGATTTGTAAAATAACAAAATGCTTACCAGATGATATAGTCACCTCAAAAACAGGGACAGAGACCAGGCAGAGGTGTTTAATGCGTTCTTTGCCTCTGTCATCAACACCGATGAGTGACTAAGTGTGTCCTAGTGCCCGGGCTGAAGGACCATGGCTGTGAGCATGATAAACTCCCAGCTGACTCTAAACCTGTGCTGGATTTGCAGGGCTCCGTCTTAACGCCCAGTTCTCTTAAACATCTTCCTAAACAACTGGGATACGGGACTTGAAGGGATGCAAAGTATGTTTGCAGATGATACAAAATTAGGAGTTGTTGACTCCCTGTAGGGCAGGGAGTCCTTTCAGAAAGACCTTGACAAATTCGTTGATTGGGTAGTCATGAGCTATATGAAGTTTGACAAGTGCTCTTCTCTCTGGTGATCAGTGACAGGACCCAAGGAAATGGCATGAAGCTGAGTCAGGGGAGGTTTAGGTTAGATATCAGGAAACGGTTTCTTACCCAGGGGGTGATTGGGCACTGGAACAGGCTTCCCAGGGAAGTGTGTCTGTCTGAGTTCAAGAAGTGTTTGGACAAGGCTCTCAGGCACATGGTGTGATTCTTGGGGTGTCCTGTGCAGGGCCAGGAGTTGGACTTTAAATGATCCTTGTGGGTCTCAGCCAACTCAGAATATTGTGTGATTCTGTGAATTGACAGATTTCATGTGTTTTAGTAGGAACAGAAGATGGATCTTTTTCTCTTCAACCATGTGGACTGTATAAATCAAAAATTACATAATTACAGCAGTTTAAAAAATAAAATTATTTTTGTAAAGGGATGTACCATAAATTCTACAGGAATATCACCTCTTGTGGCCAAAACAAAATAAATGAAAGTGGGGGATGAGGAATCCATTAACTTAGCACTGAATACTCCCAAATTATTCCTTTAGTAAGTACTGAATAGTAGATCAGGCAGTGAAAGGAAGTGATGAAGCAAGCCATAATGCTTCAATTTTCTCCAACCCTAAAATAGGAGCAGTGGTGATTATTCAACTAACAGAGGGTTTCAATCACGTGTAGTTTGCATAATCATTAATCTATTTATTGAGTTCTGAATCTGCACTATAATTGGAGTTTATTGTCAGTATTCTTTCTTTTTCCTGGTTGAATTTTCTGTATCCTTCAGGCACAATCCGTAGTTGAAAACATGACATATCCAGGGGGTTATAAATCTGATTATAGGTTAGGACTGTAGATCACAAACTGTTATTAAGTCCTTTGTATAACTTCAAGGTGTTTTCTATTTGTGATTGATGTCCCTAGCTGTAAAAAGACATTTGGTTTAAGGATGTATTATTAGAGAAATAAAGCTTTCCTGAACACAGTCTGTATGACCTATTATGTACCTCTTTTTGGGATGAGGTAAGTCTTCCTTTAGATATATAAATTCTTTCTGTAAAGTATGAAGGGATCTTAAGTTGATTACTATGAGCTTAGAATTGTTGGACGCTGTGCTTAGGCCACTCTGCTGCATTTGAAAACCTCTCTGCATACATATGAAGTGCAGCAATGCCTATGTAAAATATGTGCTGCCTGATAAAGTGTGATATTGCATAATTGTATTTTCTTGAGAAGTTAACTGATGACTGTTCAAATGTTTTACTGAATAGATACCCTAAAACTTGTTTTCATATGATCTACATCTTAAAATTCTTCAGTATTAAAAAAATGCAAATATGAATGTTATTGCATTGTGGGGAAAAAAAAAAAAGGTGTACAGTTTACATTTAAAATCTAGTTTTTCCTAGGTCTCTTTGCCTTTTCAAAGCATGTAGTGTCTGGAATGATCTCCAAATATTTTATTTAAATCTGCACTGGATATTGCTTGTCATTTGAAAATAAATTATGATGGGCTGCAGTTCACAGTAATCAGAGTTGACACTGTATCATGAAAAATTTGTCGTAATCTGTTTAAATTTAGAGCTAATTATATTTAGAAATGTGTAAAAGAGGAGAATACTCAAAAAATATTTTTAAAACATCCTGATAAGAGAGGCGGTGATGTCTTAAATTGTCTTTGTGGCACTGGGGTTAGATAAAAGAACTTGATATATCATACCGGACCATATAGGGTTTTTAAGGGTGATTTTGTGTTTCCAGGGTGAGCATGGGATAGATTTTTGTTTTCTAGATAGTACTGAATGTGCTGTTGTCTTACTGTCTTTGATAGCTAAAAATCTCAAACATGCACAGATCAGGTGCTTAGGGACATGGTTTAATGATGAACTTGGGGTGTTAGGTTAATGGTTGGACTCAATGATCTAAAAGGTGTTTTCCAATCAAAATAATTCTATAATTCTGTCTGAAAGTAGAGAAATACAAGTTCCATCTTTTCATGTGTTTTATGTTTTCTTACTCTAAGTAAACCTAGATCAGTACTGTTCCAGAGTAGTGTATTCCTGGCTACCCGTTATGTGATTATTAGGCTTTATTACGTTCTCTAATTTAACCTGAAATTGGCTGAACACATATTACTTTAAAAAAAAAAAAAGCACATTGTAGAGCAGCCCTAGTGTAGATGACCAAAATGCAACTTTATAATTCTTAGTTATTTTAGTTGTTACAAGTTATTATAGTTATTACAAGTTGTTATTATATGCAAATGGGTATTTAGTTCCTTTATAAATGTAATTTTCCTTGACCTTTTTCTTGTGTAGTAAGGTACTGTTTTCATTGACTACCCATTATTTCAAAGTTGAGGATGGAGGCGAAAGATCAGTCTGTGTCACCTTTGGTTTTTTCTTCTTTGTGAAAGCGATGGCAATTCTCATTGTGACAGAAAACTACCTAGAGTTTGGACTGGAATCAGGTAACTCCTTTCTTTAGTGTTTGAAGCAGCTGTAGTGATTGCATGATCTGAAAAAAATTATTTCCAGCGTTTTTGTGAATATCTGTGTTAAAATGAATGGTATGTGTCATATACTTCTAAGAAATTTTGTTTTGGAATGCAGACTCTAAAGAATATCCCAAATAGTTTCCTCGTTTTCTTTTAAATAGTGTAATCTTTGCCTAGTTATTTGTTTTGTTAATTATATTTGCCTTCCAGTTTTAGATTTAACCCTTTTTGATTTTCATAGAAAAGTGTTCCTTTACTGAAACAGACCAAAAAAAAAGTTATATTTTTTCATCTTCCTGAAATGTACAAGTATTAGAGATGTTAATAACCAAGTTTTATTGTATTATGGCTAACTAATTAGTTCATGAAAAGCTATGCTAGACGTGAAAAATTGTTTGAAAGATCTGTTACCTAGTATTTTATTTCCAAAAAGGTATTCTGCATTTGTACTGTAATAAAATAAATATAATATATGTGTCTCTGCAGGTTTCTCAAATTTCTCTGAAAGTGCTATGCAGTTTCTTGAAAAACAAGGTTTGGAATCCCAGTAAGTTTCTGGAAATACATTTGTCTGTTTTATATATGCATTTACAACTGAATCACTTGGATTTTCTTAGCAAGCAATTGACTTGCATGTTTTGCTCTTGTACATGGTTATAATATCTACAATAATGGGAAGAGGTGGGTTAATGAAAAGAATCTGTCAGTACCCACAAGTAACTGAAGTTGCATTAGTGTTTTCTTTTTAATACAGAGGTAGTTTCTGGCATTGTGATTGTAGCTTGTAAGATTCAAAACTAAATGATTTTTCATGGTCTTTCCCTTCAGCTTCGGAAGGATTGTTTAAAATAGGTGATAAGTGTTTTTTGCCATTCCTATGGCATGCAAGAGGGTGAGTGTGCAAAAGCTACAGATGGAGTTTGAGGAAATTGACATTAGGAATAAATTTTGGTGCTCAGTCCTGTTTTTGGGTTGTAATAGCATGCTCCTATCATGCAAAAACATCTGCTTGCTACAGGACATCCAAGTTTTGTATAGACTGTTGGAAGAACATGCCATAGCTTGTGATGTTACATAAATATACAACTACTGTCTCAGACAGCCTTTGTATATTGCAAAATGGATTTCTGTCACAGTTCTTTCCTTATACATGTGGTCTAAAATTATGGGGCATTTCATCACTGGGAGCACACCTTTGAATTTCTCGCTTGGTATGTCTCATGTATCATGCAGAAGCTGTGGGATATCTTTATTTTTGAGGAACAGAAGTTTCCTCAACCTAGATTATCGTCATTTATGAATAAACTCATGGGAAATCCGTAATGGAATCCCCTGTGTTTCTTAGCATTTCTTAACTCTGCTTTCCTAAGCTATTTCCTTATAAGTGTTTGTTTAGTTTTAAACTTTTGCAGTGCTTTGGCTGTTTATAGTAGCAATTGAGTGGATGATGGTGTCTCCTGGTAGTTTAGATGACATAGATTAAGAAAGAATTTGAAACGTGATTTGGTTTTGTTCCTCTTGAATCTATTAGTTACATGTCACTTGGGTTTTTTTATTGTTTGGGGGTTTTTGCTTTGTTTGTGGTTTTTTCTTTGTGTGATCCAGTGTTTGTTAATTCTGTAATTAATTCTGTAATTTGGTTGATCCTGGAAATTTTTTCTGTAATTTTTTTTTACATACTATACTAATTACTTGGAAGAAACATGTAAATGGTCACATGTATGTTTTGGATAAATCTGTGAAAAGCTGCAGGAATAATAGTTTGATAGAGCTTTTTAATGGATAATGGTAGAATGAAGTATTCATTTTGTCTTTGACCAGTTAAGCTGGTGTCTGTTCCTCTCTTAAAAACATAGTCCTTAAAATCATTCTATTAGCTATTTCTGTTATATGATTTGTTTTTAATTACAATATAAAATTACTCTTTTTCTTTTCTGCTAACAAATTAACATCTTATGGGCAGTAGCTTAGGTTTTCTCTTTTACTAGGAAATAAATAGGTGACTTGGTTGGGTATGAAATTATTTTTGTAAATTTTAGCTTCTGATTGGTTTGTAATAATACTGGTATTCCAGAGTAAGACTATAGAATACTGTTGGCTTTTTTTATTAAATGTTAGATACTGTTGAGTTGAAAGTAGTCTCTGATACCCCCATCCCCCAACTTCTTCCCCAAGAAAATGCTTATTTCCTTTCTTTTCTTTTAGGGGTCCTGTGTCTAAACTAACCTTCAAATTGTTCCTGGCTGTTCTGTGTTCACTTATTGGTGCTTTTTTGACATTCCCTGGCTTGCGACTGGCTCAAATGCATCTGGATGCTCTGAATTTAGCAACAGAAAAAATAACACAGTAAGAGAAAATATATGCAAATAGGTATATGCTACTCAGTCTTAAATCTTTTATGTCTGAAAATAAACAAAGCAAAATATTCCAACAAGAAGGTAGTGACTAAGACTTCTGTTGCTGCGTGCTTTTCATATCTTGAGCAGACTTGCCACCTGCCTCTTTCTGCTCAACCTGTGCTCTGCCAGTCTGTTACAGTCTTTGCCTTGTAATTAGAGCCCAATTAAAGGAGCCTTCCTTTCCTTCTGCAAGAGCTCTACCATGACTGTCTCTGTGTTCTGCTTTCATTCACCCATCATTTCCTTCTGGAAGTAAGATAACCTTCAGCAAGTAGAAGTGCAACCACAGACTTTTTTTTTCCACCCCCACCTTCAGGTGGGCATTATGCCTTTAATCAGTCTAGTGTAGGATACATTGCAAAAATGACCCAGCATATTTAATAAGGGTCAGATATTAATATCAGTTTAAAGGAATATTTTAATTTTCAGTCATTCTTGAGTTTGGCAGTAAAGTGTTTTATACAATTTCACTATTTCTCTTGAGCATTCTCTGGTTGAGGGTGAAACTCCAAATGTCTTTCACAGATCTTGATGTTTTTTATACATGGTAATGACAGATTCTGCAACATCAGCCATTGCGGCTACTTAGTCTGGTCAATTTCCTAAGAGAACCATTATGCTTTCTGATAGGAAAATTATTTTTGTTCAGACTGCATTTTTGTTCTTCTCCCTCAGAAATGCCCAGCTTAAAATTAATCTGTTTGATGTGGGTCTTTCGCTCTTGGTAAATTTATAAGCGAGTACACTGTGTTATACTTGCATTCTGTGTAGTTGTCCAGCTACAGCTGCAAGCTGTTGGCTTGTTGTATGTGCTGTTAAATTTCTCTCTGTGTGTAGACTGTGAGTTGAGTCACTTCCTAATCTGTTCTTTTCACCTAGACAAAGTTCTTAGGTTTTAGTTTTTATGATTCTCAGTATTTTAAAATTTCTTGTGCCTTTTCTGAAGTATTCTTTAGTTTTCTAACATCTTTCTTGCCTCGTGGACATTACATCCTAGGCAGAAACTCTCTGAAACAAAAGTCCATTAATCAACAACTAAAAGCCAATAATTATTCATTAGAACGTGATTATGAAAATAAAACTTCTCTGGGTTCATGTTTACAGGATACTGGAACTGATTGTTAAAGCTAACTTTGTGCAAATTATTTTCAAAAGTATACCAGTACTTTGACTATTCAACTGAAAAAATGTAAAAATTATGATAAGTGGATTAAAACTTGGTCAGATCAACATAATTAGGTAATGAAATTATAAACAAAGAACGATTGTCAAGTGATAGGTTCTAATAGGCCTGGAGATCATTACTTGCCCTTAGTGACACGTTTCTATTAGTGAGTACATTTACTGACAGTGACTAAAAGGGTGCTGTAAATGAGAATAATGTGTCACTGATACAAAGCTCTCTAATTTGGTTGCAGGAAAACTGTTTATCTTTGCAGTCACATGCATAGCCTACTTAAAAAAGCAACCAACCACACAAAACCAAAACAAAACCAACAAACCAACCAACCCCCGAAACAAACATAAAACTAAACAAGTTCCCAAAGATGCCCAAAAAACCCACCAGCTACCAATGTCCCCCAAAACCCAAACAAAAACCCCCAAAACTAAACAACCAAAAAAAGCCCAACACGAAGTCCTATTTTAT